TTTGATGTACTGGCAGTATTACTGAAGGAGCACTCTTTTTCTGAAAGGGTTTCAACCTTAGCACATATTGATCCCCACTTGGTTAAGCAACAAAACCAAGCAGAAAACAGTGGAAGAGGTCACCACGTTATCTGCTCCAGAGTAGTTCAACACTGAAAAGATTTCTCTGGGAAACGTGGTTGGTGGCAGCCTCTCCACAGGAATCCTCAGTGAGCTTAGAAAACCCCCCGTGGTAGTTGGAGGGGATGACCAACCTGGTTGCAGTGTTTCTGTGCCACCCTTAATAAATATCTGCACCCATCAATTGAGCCAGCATAACAAAAGTTGCTGGATCCTTGTACAATTCAGTTCAAACCCAGGCTCTTAATGTTCCATTAAACACAGGCTTTAAAAGATCAAGGTTACTTTTGACATTCAGCATTGTTTTGATATCATATGCTAGTTTGAAAATTGGTCTAGATCATGCACTGAGTGATGGACCAGGGGCTACCTGTGATGCCAACCTGAGTTTCAGAAGGAGAGGGGAAATATAATGTAGCACATAAAATTAACAGAAAATCTTTAGGTGGGGGGGGAGGAGTTTGTGTTATGAAATATGAAAGAATAATAAAACCTATTTATCTTTTATACACAAAGAAGAAAATATTGATAAGGTCCAGAACCTCCATCCAGAGACTTCAAGCATCTCAATTCTCTTGCCAGTAGAGTTCATGTTGTTATGTGATTTGCTCATCCTCTTTGAAGGGTAGCCCCAGCTTGGCTCACATTTCCACATATCTAACACTCTGCGTAAGCCAAGAAGACAAGACCACTGTTTGAGGAAACAGGCTTTAGTCTATCCAGTAAAAAGAGTCAGGCAGGAACGTCTAACTGAGAAAAGGACATTGGTTCCAAGAAAACTAGAATGCCTTTAGCAGTCCATTGAGTGACACCCTCCCACCCCCACCCCAACGTACTGTAGCTACAGAGAATAAAAATAAAATTGTAAAAGATCCAAGGATTACTTTTCTAAATGAAGATTGCACATCATCTCCTCCACTCTCCAAGTTTCCATTGTTGATTGC